ACGTTTGCGCCCCCCGGACGCATCATACCCCGTCTGCTGTGGTCGGCCGGCCGGCCGCCAAGCTTAAGTCGGTTGAAGCGGACTGTAAAATCCGGGGTGAGTGGTCGTTCGGGCGTCCAGGTGACGCGAATTGTGTCCGAAATAACTTGGGTAACGATATAGGGCCCATACCCGGCGATTACAAACTTCTGCGGCGTCCCTTGACCAGCCAACTGGGTCCTCTGCTATTCGAATTTCACGGCCGCCTGTGACGACGAAAGGAGTCTGGTGTGTTGACGAGTGAAACTTTAAAGGATAGGCAAGCTGTCAAATATCACACGCAGATTATGTAGGAAACTTGATCCAGAAGTATTTGGAGCATACTAGGCACACTGGCCAAATCAAAGGGCATGGTTTTGAATTCGTGTAGTCCGGAGGAAAGCTTAGAAAGCAGTTTTTTCATGATTGGATGGTCTGACTTCTGCCTGCCAATATCCGGCGACCAAATCTAGCGTCGGGAAAGCCCGATTATCCGACAGGGCATGTACAGTTTTGTCAATCCAAGCTGCTAAAAGAGAATCGCCTTTTGTATGTCACTGCGTTTAGCTTGCACTAGTCAACGCATAACCGCAGGATGCCGTCTTTCTTCAAAACTAAAACAACCGAAAGGAACTAGACGGCACACTAATCTTTCGATCGAGCATCTGTCATCTATCATCGCCTTTGGCTGTGTCTGGTAGAACACATGACTCATATGACCCAATAGGCCACAGTCTCAGGTTTGATCGGGTGTGGTTGGGTCGGAGCTAGCTGATGACGGCAAAGGATCACCACAAGGTCTCTCCTGTCTGCTTCCTTCAGCCCTGCCCGCCATAAATAAGTGCGCCTTCAACAACCTGCTGTTTAACATTTTTTACCATTGGCAGAAAAATACTCGCCATTTTAAATAGTGCCATCCGAGGACAAGGTAATCAGAAAGAGTTAGTAAATGCGAAAGAAGAAGATGATAGGTAGGGTTAGTGGGAGCTGATGTGGGAGAAGGAGAAGGAAGAGGCAGAGAATGGAAGATGAAGAAGGAGGAGGAGGAGAAGAAGAAGAAGAAGAAGAAGAAGAAGAAGAAG